AGTTGAAATGGTAAATTGGCCACCGTAACGATTATAAACGCTGACGTTTGGAGCTTTAGCCCTTCGTCGGAGCGAAAAGGGGAATTGTGGGTTGTGTGTGCTTTTAAAGGCAGAAAATGGAGCTACGTTATTATTATAGCAATAACGTAGTTCCATTTTCTGCCTTTAAAAGCACACACAACCCACAATTCCTCTTTTCGCTCCGACGAAGGGCTAACGCTCCAAACGTCAGCTTTTATAATCGTTATGGTGGCCAGTTTACCATTTCAACTTCACTAGCAGATTTGATTCCTTGTTTGTTACTGTAAATCAAAGAGCAGAAACTCATTGCAACACATTGTTTTTCTGAGTTTGTCCAAATACCAACTCATTAGCCTGGCTATATGGTGCCGCTACTATTTTGCTAGGGTCGATGTACATTGGAGTAGGTCCAGGGTTTTTTTCTATATCTGAGCTCAGTTGAAACTTACAATACTTTGATAGGTGTGGTTGACTCTTATAAAGACACATGGGTCTAATTACAAGAAAACATTGATAAATACCCACTTGCTCTATATGCCTTCACAGAACAATTCAACAAATACTTCTTCTCGTGTCGTGTAACTTTATCTAATCTTACCCTCTTCCTATTAAGCTTACAAACATTCCTTGTAACTCTTCTAACCTTCACATAACGACGTAGCCGAGAGGACTTCGGTATGCTTGGACGAATACGCTCATAAAAAAATTCGATTCCTTCAGTTTTCTGCCCTTTCTTCTGGGACGTTTTAGAGTAGCTTCTGGTATTCTACTGGGTTCTCGATCATATTTAAATACACGGTTGTGTTTACATGTAAACAGAATATGAGATAGCTCGTTTGATAGAGCAGCTTTCGCTTGATATTTCTCGATACAAGGTTCACTCGTCAAGATCGCTCGTAAATTGACCTCTCGTAAAGTTCGCGGACCGACTAGTTCCCAAGACGTTCCACAAGTTTTAGAGTGGGTTTACCACGAACAGTGTGTGACTTTGTATATATATTGAGCGTAATAGCCATCGAATTTCTTTCGCGTGCATCAAGCAAGGAATTGTCCACGAAAGCAGCCATTGCTTTAAACCATGCACTCTGGGGTACATTCTTGCGTATGG